CATTCCAATGTGTTTTTCATGCACAGAAAAAATTTATGTTCAATGCATGAAACGGGCAGTGAAGGTCAAAGTTTGCATGTTATCCTAGTGTGAGACAGGTGTGAAAAACATGGAAAAGGTGACTTGAAGATAGAACAAAATTCACTCATGGGAAATAAGAAATTATGTCTAGGCATCAAAGTACTCTACATAGAAGTGCAAAGACGTCCCCAAGAAACATTATGTAAAATCTCAAGGGAAAAATCTAGATAAGCGTAATTGAAGATGTATATCGCTTATCAATCAAATGCAATATAGTTGACATGTATTCAGGCTGAAGAAATTAACTTCAATCTAGACATATAAATGTTAGACACATGACAAAATAGCATTTGTCTGAAATGGCGTCACTGTGCATTACATCATATGATTAATTACTAATGAAGACGTTTGATTTAGAAAACAACCGAATAGACAAAAACTGTTCATGATTATGAAATAATCTCTCAAATGTTTTATTCAGGAAATTAACTTCTTACCCATATGATTTTATTTTGCTAGATTCTAGTAACATTCTGCCAATTTTCTGATCATGAGAAATACTAATCAGAATCTTACAAAGTTTTATATTTTTTTGCTAGATTCTTCCTGACAGTATTACAACGAAATTCTTGCAGAAAATTACGCACTGAAAAATGTCTGATTAGAATCTGTGCATTTCTTAGTAGATTCCTACTGACAATATTACAAAATAATTTCTCATCACCATCTCACTAAACACAACATATGTCCCTGAATCTCAAGTTATGAAACCCAGTACAAAATGGTGGGTGAGGTTGTGGGCCTTTGACTTTGCTACACAAACAATTGTTAATTCCAGTCTCTAATCTTATGAATTATTCAAACATAGGTGATGAAATAGCAATTAAAGTACTCAAGAACAGTATGTGACAAGACTTAGGTGAACTAGAAAATGTTTGTTGCATGAAAATGATCATACTTTTTGGATTACAGATGTTTCTCTGAAACAGAATCCTTCCTCTACAGTATATTTACAGTATCGCTAAACACTTTCAACAGTTTTTATCATTTGAACTTTCTGCATAGCCTTCATAATTCATTAACAATTTGTTTACCTTCTAATTTTTGAAATGTCTTTTGTCAGTCTGATTCATTGTCTGTATTTTTGATCGACAAATTGAAGGTTACAACCACAACTTTTACAAGTTAGAGCAATATTCAAGAGACATATGCATAAAAAATGTCAACTAAATTTCAGTGGGAATATTTGCAACGGGTGTTAATTTCAGCAAGAACTTCAGTGAGATTTTGATCAGATATTTGTACACTAATTAGAAAGAAATCTCACTGAGATCTGACCAGACTTTTACTGTTTTCTCTTTAATTTGCATACAAATAACTGATCAGAATCTCTTAGATTCTAGCAAGAGTCATGGTCAGATTCTTGATGGAATTGAACCAGGTTCTAGTGAGAGATTTTCATAAGGATTGAGATTCACAACAAATCACCAAAAATTGCAGCAAATTTAAGTAATGCAGTTGGGGTTTAAAATGTCTTTATCGTCTGCACACATTGTTCCATTTAATTTCTTTCACGTTCTATTACATCACTTCTATTTTTAGTAAGACCTCATAAACATGACAAATGCTGCACTGAGTTGATATTACATAAATATTGATTTAATGTATATCTAGATAAAATTTGCTTTGCTTACAAATGGAAGCAGCTGACAAGTAACAAATTTAAAGACACTACAATAAATTTGTGACGTTTCGCTAAGTACTGTAAAATACTTTATTTTTGCTTGAAACTAATTTTCGCTATTTTCACTGAAGGAATGATTCAGTGAAAATAAAATCCAGCAAATATACCTTTTTTCCTATATTTTACACAGTACATTAAACTCGTCAAAAATTTAATAGTGAAAATAAATTCCATACAAAATACCCAAAAAGTCTTTTCAGCGAAAATAAAGTATTTCACAGTAATAAATGAAACGAGCAAACAAAACCTGAACTTGTTTCTATGAAAACAATGACTAAAATGGCCAATTTTAAACAGTCAATTACAATTAAAGAACAATAAGACAAAGTTTCAGTAAATTCCTGTTCCAAAATTGTGTTTGATGTGACCATTCTTAAAAGATATGATGGAATTGTCAGAGTGTGCTATCAGATGCATGAAATCAAATCAACAAGTTCTGTTACTTTCACTCAGCAAAAAAGATCTGTAGAATTGAAACGTTTATCAAAACTTCATGATCAGATTTAGCAATATATACCTGTACCCTTATGAAAATGAGCTGCACTTGAAGAATGTTTAAAGTATACATACAACCCAAAGAATAAGTATGATTTGTGTATACTCACTATGAAAAAAATATAAAGTACATTGCATTTGGAACACAAAAGTATACTTAAAGGGTGGTAGTCTTCGCACCACGCATGCGCAAGATATATGGGTCTCATATAAAACAAAGATGGCGACTTTGACTGTTGCGCAGATCAATGTACAAACTGAGACATTACCAAGATTTAACTGAGTATTTTTTAGGTGATTGGAAAGTATCAAAGGTGTTACTGGTGGTAATTAGTGCAAGTCGTGCCCAGCTCAAACCTCATACTTCCATTAGAAGAGCGCATTGGATTGTGGGAAAATTAATGTTTATCAACACAAATGTCACAAATGCGCAATGCGGCGATCATTGGCCTTTAAGTACATTGCATTTGGAACACAAAAGTATACTTAAAGTCTGCTGATAACAAATAAAATAAGTATCATTATGTAGAATTCACACGTTTATCAACAAAATTTCATGACCAAATCTTGCAATGTTAACTTGCAAGTCAAAACAATTTAGGGAACATCGGGATAATCTCAGTTAAAGCAAGGTAATTTATTTTGAAAAACTTAATGTTTCACATAATGAATGAGAAACAGGATGGTATGCAGGGATTTTTTTAAACATGGGAACAGGGGCGCAGCGCCCACTTAGTGGCACTTCTGAATTGCAGTGCTCCCCCTTGCAGTTTTGTTCTAGAAAAACCCCTGGATATGTTTTAACCTTATTTGGAGAAATGTATAGTACATCAGAGATTTCACTTTTAATCATGCAATCACTGTTAATGCAACAACCTGGGCCTCTAACTGACAGATCAGGTACAGAGTGTTATAGTATAAACGTCTTGCTAGCAAATAACAGGAAAATGGGATTGAAATATTATTTTTGGTCATTACAATAATACTAGTAATTCCTTACACCTGTACAAAGTGATTCTGTGACACAAGAAGACTTAGAACCAGCGACTGTGTGGTGTAAAGTGACCACTTCGTATGAAATGATCTCGAGGTACAAAGTGATTTGGGAGGACATAGTTTCTATATTAGGAGACTGTAATTCACTATTATAATAATGATATATCTGCATTAAATGAGGTTATTACGAGGATACGAGGATAGCTCAAAGTATGCACAAAGTACAGCAGAAGTATCGACTGCAGCGGATGTCGATGAGATGACATATGGTCTGAGTGTACATTTTGTATATTTTGAGGTATTCTCGTAATAACTTTATTTTCATACATCTTTTCCTTCCAAGGATACATCTTGGGAATGCCAAAATCCAAAAAGTTCAGTTTTTGTGTGGAGTTCGGTCAAACCCTAGTGGCAGCCATGCTGGTTTTTATTATTAGAGGACGCTTATGCGCATAATCATTCCATATTTGGAATTTGCATTTCCTTATATGGTAGGATGAAAATATCCAGTAAAATACCGCAAAATTACGGCACACTGTAACTTATGGCATTACGCTGACAGATGTATAATAATATATATTAATACAATATGTATGAATAAGATTTACAGTTACAATACATTCGCATAGATCCATGCTAGTTACTGTATATCTGTAATCGAACTATGCTTACAATAAATCTACATTAGGTCTATGGTCACAGTAGCTCCGTATAAAATCCATGCAGCATATCTGCTTTAGATCTACGGTTACAGTTGATCTGTGCTATACGGTTACAGTAGATCTGCATTAGACCTACGGTTACAGTAAATCTCCATATTTGATCTATAGATCAACAGTTACAGTATTCTCTCCAGTTGTACACGTACATCATGTAAATTAAGCAATATACAAATTACACGCACAGCATTGGTAATTCAAAGAATCTCATATCAAAAACACCGGATGGATTAAGCTGCCAAAAGGGCATGTATGCTACCAATATGCACACCATCCATGTATGGCAGACATGATGTAATATCTTGCATCTCAATTGAAACAACCAACCAGGACAATCAGACAGACATAGTGTATGATCTCTTATGGGAGTTGCACTCACCCAATCAATTACTAGTAGATACAAGGTTGACATTTTCAAAGGTTTCAGGAGGTCGAAAATATTCCTTCTGCAACCCGAGCTTACATATACGTAAAACACCATGCCGTAAATTTAGTTGTTATCAAGCATGTGTTCTAGCTGGAGTTATACAACTCCTGTGTGTTAGAGATCACTAACAAATAGCACACCTGACACCTGAATCAATGGCTTTAATGTCTATATGAGTGATCTCTATGTAATTCCAATTGCATGAAATTGCTAGTCTATTAGTGTGCCAGACTAACAGTACAATGTATTTCATACATGCCATTCCACTAGTAAAATGATTTTACCTCAAGGTAAACCATTGCAGACACTCCAGGATTAATACATCATTATACAATTATACTGTATTTACTCTATTAGTGGCATATGCACTCATAAAAGTATTAGGTAAACAACAGATTAAGTCTATGACAAAAATCCATCATATTTGATTGACTGATAAAATAATTGAAATTTCTTTTGGTTTATGTTTGCTTGCATTGAAAATGAGAAAATGAGATGCTAATAGAGCAAATACAAATATTTCCACACAAAAAAAACAAAAAACAAAAAAACAATCAAGCAACTAGGTTATTCCTGTTTAATACTGCAATTAACATACCTGATGCTCATCGTCTACCACCTCATTGGTTACTGGTACTTTTATCAATCCTAAAAGAGAAACCAGAAAAAAAAAAAAATTATAATTACTATATTATTACCAGACTGAAATTGACTTTTATAAGTCTAGCACAGAAATCTGTCATTCAATGACATGAAAGAAAGCAGATTTTAATATAAACATTATTATTACACAAAAATCAAAATCATTATGGTAATTAGCTAATTAATATTCAGATCTGAATCAAATTGTGAGTCAAGTACCATTTTATTTAAATATTCTAAAAACAAATGATAAATAAGCAATCTAGCAAAATGCAAACAGTAAAGCACAGTATAGCATCCTGTAATTCCATGAATATGTGGACAGTTTATTATGCAAGTTTAATTTTATCACCACGAGGTGTTAAAAATATTTATTTTTATAGGATTTGTTTATATACACACACTGTAACAAGATGTTTCCTGTCTTGAAACATATAACCTACATGTACATCGAGAAGACATTCACATGATGTTATATATTCAGCACTGGTCTTAATATACTGGCTGAATGTTCAATCTGATTATAGTCTCAAATGCAGGCATGCCATTCCATGCCCGAAGTTGTTTTTAAATTAAAGATTACATTCATGACCTCATGGCTTTATTAACAATTCAAATATTTGGTGTGAAACCTTAAGGCCAATTTAGGCATCAGTCGATCAGTAAAGTTCTAGAAAAGAAGCCAAGCAGAATGAGGGCAGTAGACAAAGTCTTTTAAAATAAAGTATTGAATGAATTATGCAAAGTGACTGGCAATGTAGTATGCATGAACAAGATAAACAGGAGATTGCTGATATCAGATAAAGTCGAAAGCTTAGACAAGTATTCATGCTTGAATGATTTAAGAAGACAGATATTGTACAATATACAAATCTATTTCTTGAATATTTCATCGTTTATCAACCCAACATTCATTATGATACCACTGTGTACTGACTAGTAAAAAAGATTTTTAAATTAAAAAAAGATATATAAAGACTATATATATATACATGTACCCTGAAGGCATGCCAAAAGTGACAGTTTTTTTTTTTGTATTTTTACCAAATAGATTTGTGTTTCAGCCTTTTACACATGGTGCATGTTTCAAGACAGTTTGTTATGGTATGGATATTCAGACTTGATAACAATTATAGAACACATGAATGCAAGGTAGTAAACCGAGGCATAACACTGCAGGTGGTAAAATACGTGTATATTAATAAAATAATTTCCCCAGTATGTAGTAGCACAAATGTTCAAATAGAATGTGGGAAAGCCTTGGAATACTACTAATAATAATAACTAATAAATCATAGAATTTAACAAATCCATATATTTATTGCTACATATATATGTAATATAAAGACAATCTGGATACTCATAATTAAAATATTTGACATTACGCATATTGAATCACGTACCAATTTCTCAATCTTTTAAATTTTTAAATACAAGCTCTATTGCTCACATACATGTATGCCTGATATTATATAACACAAATACATATATAAAATCAGCAATCAGTGTTTTTGAGTCATCACATATGTTGCAAATTACCATATAAATAGTTCATATCTCTTCGACATATTATATCATTCACATGTTGTGTGTCTCAAATCATCACTCACATCTCAAGTCATTCATTCCGGTGCGTCTCAAATCATCACTAACATCGCAAATCATTCATTCCGGTGTGTCTCAAATCCTCAAATCCTTCATTCCAGTGTGTCTCAAAACATCACTCACATCTCAAATCATTCATTCCAGTGTGTCTTAAATCATCACTCACATCTCAAATCATTCATTCCAGTGTGTCTCAAATCATCACTCACATCTCAAATCATTCATTCCGGTGCGTCTCAAATCATCACTCACATCTCAAGTCATTCATTCCGGTGTGTCTCAAATCATCACTCACATCTCAAGTCATTCATTCCGGTGTGTCTCAAATCATCACTCACATCTAAAGTCATTCATTCCGGTGTGTCTCAAATCATCACTCACATCTCAAATCATTCATACCCGTGTGTCTCAAATCACCACTCACACCTCAAATCCTTCATTCCAGTGTGTCTCAAAACATCACTCACATCTCAAATCATTCATTCCAGTGTGTCTTAAATCATCACTCACATCTCAAATCATTCATTCCAGTGTGTCTCAAATCATCACTCACATCTCAAATCATTCATTCCGGTGCGTCTCAAATCATCACTCACATCTCAAGTCATTCATTCCGGTGTGTCTCAAATCATCACTCACATCTCAAGTCATTCATTCCGGTGTGTCTCAAATCATCACTCACATCTAAAGTCATTCATTCCGGTGTGTCTCAAATCATCACTCACATCTCAAATCATTCATTCCGGTGTGTCTCAAATCATCACTCACATCTCAAGTCATTCATTCCGGTGTGTCTCAAATCATCACTCACATCTCAAATCATTCATTCCAGTGTGTCTCAAATCATCACTCACATCTCAAATCATTCATTCCGGTGCGTCTCAAATCATCACTCACATCTCAAGTCATTCATTACGGTGTGTCTCAAATCATCACTCACATCTCAAGTCATTCATTCCGGTGTGTCTCAAATCATCACTCACATCTAAAGTCATTCATTCCGGTGTGTCTCAAATCATCACTCACATCTCAAATCATTCATTCCGGTGTGTCTCAAATCATCACTCACATCTCAAGTCATTCATTCCGGTGTGTCTCAAATCATCACTCACATCTCAAGTCATTCATTCCGGTGTGTCTCAAATCATCACTCACATCTCAAGTCATTCATTCCGGTGTGTCTCAAATCATCACTTTAATACATGTCTTAAATCATATCACTTGACACACAACTCAAATCATCACTCACATTTAAAATCTTCACTCACATGTCCCAAATCACCACTCACAGATATCAAATCATCATATGTGTCTCAAATTGTCTCTCTCATGTAGCAAATCATCACATATGCCTTGAGTAATGACTCACGTACAATGTACATGTCACACTTCATCTATCATATCTCAAACCTTCACTCACATGTCTCAAAACACGACTAACATGAATCAAATCATCACACACACGTATCAAATGGCAAAGATACAAGATTTAACTCACCACTGAGCGGAGATGGTACACCAACTGTTACTGCCCTAAACATAATACAAAATAGAGCAGAAGGTAATGGTAAAGGTAATGAAAACTGACAGACAGATGACCCATGAAACTTTGGTAGATAATTCAAGCAGCAGCCTGTCGGCTGATATAGCTCCGTTGTTTTTGATGCATGCTCTGAACGCAATGACTAAGGAGCAATTTAAACTTAATGCTAGCTGCTTTAATATCGCAAGACACCAACTTTTTTTATTTTGTTGCAGAGAGAATTGTAGAGAATTGAAGATATCTTTACGAAATGGACAAATCTAATAGAGGTCTACCCAAGCTGCATGTGTACAAGTATCAAAGAAATATTTGCTAAAAATAGAGAATTGAAGATGTTGACAGGAAGTGAACAAATCTGACAGATCCAAGGCACCTACAAATAAAGTTATAAAGCAATCAGAGAGGTTTTCAAGAACAAGTTGAAAATAACATTTTTTACCAAAAATATTCACTGAAATTAGAGAATTGAAGATATCGTCATGAAATTACCAAATCTGACAAAGATTCACCCAAGGTCCCTACAAATAAAGTTACAAGGCAATCGGATTAGCAGTTTTCAAGAAGAAGTTGAAAATAACGTTTTTGACCAAAAATTACAAAAATATTCATCAAAATTAAAGAATTAAAGATATTGTCACAAAATCAACAAATCTGACAGAGGTCCACCTGATATACCTACATATACAATATCAAAGAAATTGGACAAGCAGCTTTCAAGGAGAAGTCAAAAATATAATTTTTTACCAAAAATGACAAAAATATTCATCAAAATTAGAGAATTGAAGATGTAGTCACAAAATCAACAAATCTGACAGTGGTCCACCTGATGTACCTACATATACAATATCCAAGCAATCAGACGAACAGTTTTTAAGAAGAAGTCGAAACATAATTTTTTACCAAAAATGACAAAAATATTCATCAAAATTAAAGAAATGAAGATATCATCAAGAAATGAACAAATCTGAGAGAGGTCCACCAAAGGTACCTACATACCAAGTATCAAAGCATTTGGGCTAGCGGTTTTCAAGAAGAAGTCGAAAATAGCATTTTTAACCAAAAATGACAAAAATATTCGCTATAAATAAGACAATTGAACATATCCACAGGAAATGAACAAATCTGAGAGAGAACCACCCAAGGTACCTTTCTAGAAATGTTCACAGCTATACAGTTTGTGGCATTAAGAAGAAGTCGAAAATGTCAAGTTGACAACGGACAATCAGTAATACATGTACAATAAGCTCCGCTCGACTTGGTCGATAGCGGAGCGGAGCGGAAAAGGCTGCGCAGAGGATCACCCAACAAGAATACTGTCCTAGGTAGCAGTATAGAGAAGCTGGGGTATCATTTCCCACAGTAATGCAGGGCAAATCTCTGTACATTTTAATTTTCTTTTCCAACATGTCAAATTTGTTCAGGGAGAATACTGGTGCTAGGATGTCATCTCAAGAGCAACATTATCACTCACAAGGACAGACACTGCCTCATCCCATGTGAGATATTAATCAATTAAAGAATGACACTCTGGATGCTCAGTGAAACATAGCTTCAAAAACAGAATGTCATTTTAGGGACTCTTATTTACATTAGAGTTGTAGGTTCAAGGGTTTCTATAGAGATGACAAAGGAAATGTTGATTTCTGTAATATCATATCAAATCGATCGTAATACACATGACTGTGTTAACCAATGGGCCATTCCAGTTTATATCTGCACCCCCCTGTTGATGAGGTCTGATTTCCAGCACTGTATGATGGTGAAAATACCCCGGAATTCCAACTGTATATGGAGAAACAGAATCTGGAAATCCAGACAAGTATGGAAAAACAAAATCCTGGAAATCCAGGCAGTTATGGCTACTAAATAAAATATGGCCTAGTTTATCTCGCCACATACCGGTTGATGAGGTTGGATTTCCAAGACTGTATGACTAAAAAAACTAAAAAAAAATTGGAATTCTGACTGTATATGGTAAAAAAAATGGGCCAGTATGAAATAGTTATTATTGAAATTAAATAAGGATGTGGCACGAATGAGCTCATCAATACTGTGAATCAGGACTAGTTTGGATTTCCATTATAAAATATAAAATTTTGAACTTTAAAAAATAGTAAATTAGCATATGACAGTTATATTTGGAAATCCTACTCTGTATGGTGGCACAAAGGAACTCAAGAACACCATAAGTAGGGACTATAGTTTTGGATTTCCATCACTGTATGGTGAATGGTGATTTGGAAATAAAACTTTGTATGACTTAAACACCCTTGGAAATTATACCCTGTATGAAGTAAACACACAAGCTCATCAACAGGGGGGGGGGGGGGTGCGGATATAAACTGGAATGGCCCAATGTCAGATTTCATTGTTTGTTCCACTTGATTAGATCGAGCCACAGAATTATATTTACATAAACAAGACAAAATCTTGAATTATAACATAATTATTAATTTTAGTATTGCTCAATCTAGTCCTTATTTTCCCAAGGTGATTGATCACTTCACTCGCACAACCAAGACCCAGAAGAGCTAATTAACACACTCCAAATCCAATCTATTTGGAAGAGATAGCAATATTATACCGATAGCTCCTCTAATCATTTGTCTTACTCTGCTCAGGAGAGCCATTATTTATTATTTTCAAGCAGCAAGGCCTACTTAAATTTAGCCAGCACGTTTTATGTTATTTGATACTTCCCTTGCCTGTAGTAAACAAAGAGAACTGAGAAATTGAGCCCAGGTGTAGAACTCTACAATGAATATTGCAGAGTGGATGTTGACTGACATTCAACATTTGAATATTTGATAGAAATGTATGATTCATACTCTGATTCAAAATCGTTGTCAATGGTAAACGAGACCAGATTTTTTCGTAGAGGCAGTATTACTTTTGTAACTCCATCTTTAACACTGCATCACTGAATACGATGTACATGTATGTATATTACTATGAAAACGGTCTTTTAATTTGAGCAACCCCCAAAAAAATGCAAGTACATGTAATATGTATTTTAAAGAAACCAATTAAATTTTAAGTCAGCTAGATTCTTAGGATATTTAGGTGATAAAATATTTTTGAACAAATTACAAAAAAACTTTCAAAAATATTAGGATCAAGCATATACTGAAAAGTGATTTATGAAGAAAAATCACTTGGAATAGTGACCAATATGCAAAATGTACTCAGTGCATGTTTCAACATTTATTTTATTATTTTTTTTCATTTCAGATCAATTCTGCCAGCACATAATTTCAAAATGCCTACAGGATTTGTTCACAAACAAATGATGCAAACAGTATAACAAAAATAAATATAACTTCATCATAATTGCTAATTGTCCAAATTACTGAAAAATGACTAATTTTCACTGGGTTTAAATTTTGCTGATTTACCATTTCAGGCATATTCAGTGGGTTTTAAATTCACAGTTTTATCATTTAGATAATGTGTTCTATGCTAAATTTTACATATTCGCTGGGTTTTAATTTAGTGCATTTTCCAGTCAGCGAAATAAGCGAAATTAAAACCCAGTGAATAATTAACCCTTTTACAGTACATATCATACGAATATATAAGTATTGGTTTTCAATTTTAAGACCAAATCCTAACCATACATCTATATGTTTTGGAAAATTTAAGGCAGAACACATAAACTAGCTTTTTGTAAGTAAATGTCAGAGTGGAATGATAAAGTCAGCCAAGATTAATTCAGACATAATGAACATGCTCTGTTAAGGGAAATTAATTTCTTTTTTAGAAAACGTTATTAACTTTTTTTTAATTAAATTATCTGCAAGCTGATCACTCATGTATTCCGGCAATATATGTCAGTGTTTAGTCATCAGTGACAAATAAATTTCTGCAAAAAAGCTGTTATCAATTATCCCATTATTGGGTGTTAATTACACCTTAAATATGAATTACCATATTTATTCTATTAGAGAACCCTGATAACTTGTTGTAGTGGATGTACGATGCAGAGAAATGATAGATACATGTACTTGACAAAATAATTTCTTGAAAATTGGCGTATTCAGAAATTCTGTCATTGTTTTGATCAAAACAAGTTTTGATACCTTATTTGCTCTAGTAGTAGCGTGTTGGTTTACAAAAAAGATATAGGTGTGTATATTGATGAATGGGCGGTGGTCGTCGCGCCACGTCATGTTCCATATGGGACTCTTGGCGACATATACAACGCATGTAAAATACTTTATTTGTTTACATAAAATTCGTGATGAAGACCGAGCTTTAAAATAAGTTATGTTTTAAATGATTCAAGTACATGTATATAATACATACAACAGTCGTTTCACATTTGCTTCTATTGGAGACACGATTCAAATGAAGCAAATACAATTATAGTTAGTTTCTGTTTCTTTAGACCTCGCAAGCATACCCCTATGCTTAAGTACGTCATAACATTTTAGATCACCTGTCAAATTATTCTTCCCATTCTTGCATCGTATCATGAAAACCCAGATAAAATTTTGAAATCGTAAAATGTAGGAAACTTGAGAACACTGCATTCAATTTGTGTACATGTAACCTGATAGTTATTGTCGTAGGGGAGTAACTTGTGTGTGGTGTAACTCACATATAAATTATTATAATAATAATTCTTGTTTAAAAATGCCAGATTTTTTCAATTATGATATTTGCAATTATATAATAAATTTTCGAAATATAATATTATAAATTCAATAGGACTTTTAGAAAATATAATTTTAGATTATTACATTTTTCAAAGTAAAACAGGCAAATTGTTAGCAGTACTATATTTTGTGAAAAGATACAACATCAACAGTTGAGTACAGTGGTGATACCGTAGATTTCTAAATACTGAGAGAACTCAATCATATTGCATTTGACCTTGATCCAAACTGATGTAAAATCGAGATGGCCTGCTACTACATGTATTCTTTTATTTCATGGAAATAACAATGTGGCAATGAACGAGTTATTCAATCCAAGCACACATAGAAGAAGGCAAAAAACAATGTCATACCAAAAGACTCTGGTGAACACCTGCCGTAATCTGGCTTCTTTTAACGATCGATCAATATCAGCTGCAATCTCGGGCGTCTTCGCTAACAATGTCACACCAGAACAATCTCTATGGAAGAAAAAAGAAAAAAAAAACGAATGAATTCTTACATTATGTATATTAATGGAATATCACCAACAGTTTTTACCGTAGTTTCATAAAAAAACAAATATCTATAAAAGGAAACAAAAAATTTAATATTTGATTGAAGGTAATATTCAAAGCTGACAGTTCTCAAAATTTATATTAAATTATTTACTTTATTACAGTGTGTATATAATGTATCTGATAACTTCCCAGATCACCTGGGTATAATGTCTTTCATATCACCATGGCAACAGTGTATGAAATTACACGTACGGGTCACAATACAGGAGACACAAAATGAATGCATTTTGGTTACTGTGATTGATCAATTAGCGTCTTGGTGTAATATTAAAGATGCGTCAGATAATATCATATTATATAATTGAGACGCTGACATTAGGAAATTCCGAACTGAGCAGAATAAATTTCTTGACGTGTACTTGAAACCATATTATGAAAAGGTTGTATGGGAACATTAATGATGTGTTTTATAATTAAACTTTGAATTTGGTCACCATATCGATCAATGATTTTGTTTCCTCATCAGTCCAACTGACTTCTCTAACAGCCAATGTTATTGCGATTGTGAAAGGAGTTTTGGATCATGCGACAAAGGTTACAACTAATTTATTATTCAAGGATAGTGGTGATTAATTAATCTGGCACTTATTTGTGCTTTAGTCAGGGCACCCTAAGTTAGGAGTAAAAATTAGGCCAACTTAAATATATTTAGTCAAGTATAAAATTTGGGAAAGCCTCAAGACTGCCTTATTTTCCAATGTGAAACTTCCTAGATTTCCTATTGGTTGAATAGTAAACAGAACTGAAATGAATCAGCCATCACAACCTGCAATAAATGATATGTACAAATGTATAATGTAGTTGTAAAGTTTGATTGCAATCAGTCAATATATGTCAGTAACATGACTCTAGAACAACATTTGCATTATACCAGTATGAATCTGATCTGAAAAAAACATTATGGTCCTGTTATATATATGTTCAATGTATCTACCAAGATGTATAACTGAGACATGGGTTGGAAATGGCGAAAGTGCTGGTATGGTAAAGTATGGTAGCATACATGTACCGGTGCCAAACATGCATATAAAATAGTTGTCATAGCAACAGAACTGAAAATATTCATTTTTGTGTTTGTCTAACAAAAGCTCAAATTTCCTTATATGTTATACAATTTATCGATGTGAGTAGGTTATATAGGTGATATATAACCTGTTGAAAAGGGGACAAAAATGTCATTCTATATTTCACGAGTAAAATTTTTTTTTACTTTTTGGCAATATCCTCACTTTATGTGTATTTGTAACATTCAAATTTCTATTACTATAATTATATACATGAGTAATATGCACAACGAAAATTTCAACTAATTTGCATCAGTAATTCTCATAGATAAAAGCATTTTCTCATTTTTTCATAAAAGTGGATATGATGTCACATTTACCCACAATCCTTTGCTGGAGAATCAAGATGGTGGACTACATACATGTAATATTGATGAAAAGTAGAATATCTAGAGAATGAAAAATGAAATAAAAAAAACTGTAAATTGCATTCTCCTACATTTGTGGAGCTCTTTTATTGGGAAGCATTATGTTGCTTGGCTTGAGTTTTCCTTTAAGAGATATCTAATTTTAAAAAAAAATCTTCAATGCATGCAGGGAAACATCCTAGTAGGATTGTTTCACATAAAATTTTGATTAATAAGAAATGTCAATCATAAATATTTGGTGTGATTCAGTGGACTTAGGTGAGAGGCCTACTCATAAATGCAAATACCCAGAATTTATTCATTTTGCAATAAATTGTACTGCAGGGCACTTAACTTGAATGTTAAATGTTTTTAATATATTATAATTTTTTTTTTTAGCAAAAAACAGTATCATTCAAACACAGTCTATCTTTTTAACTTGTTCTGGGAGTGATGTTTTCTTTATTCGCAAAGTGGCAATGCGACTGTAAAGCACATTCATTACAAAGGTATCGGTAAGATCAATAGAATCACATCATTTTATGACGTTCAATTCAGCAGAGTGAAATTACGGAAACAGATTTTTTATTAGGAATACCCATTTAGGTAATTGCATGAACATGCATATATAGATCACTGACTTGAAGATGAGAAAGTTATAAAATTTGCTTTAATCATACACTGTACAATGAATAATGTAAATGTGACATTTATTTGGTTACACAGGGATCACCAGGTCAAAACGGGTGTATTGCATAATACATTGTGTGGATTGCATCGAGCGTCAGACACGCAGTTGATCTTCAACAAATGTGTTAATTTGGCTTCACCTCTGATTTAATTTTCCAATAAAGACTACGTTCATTTACACTTAAATCTGATACCCTCTACATAGAAAAACTAAGCTCCATTGACGCTGAGATGTCAGGTTACAAATTCAAATTTCAGATGTATGAATCAGAAGATGCTCAGCAGACCTAACCTAGGGAGTCTGAGTGTGCTTGGATGCGATGACAACAAATTTCACATAAATAAGAATATCGGGAAATGACTTCATCACAAACTATCCTCTGAGAATACTTTACATTGCATTTACGTTTATTCAGATGGCCTTAATTGAAACGTCGACTGAAAGTTGGATGTGAAATACGACCTGATGACGCCCTAAGAAGCTGAAAATGCAATAACATACAAAGAAATTCTATGGAAATGTTTGGTAATATTCTGCAAACAATTTCTGATCCAAATATTTTGCGAAAACCATAATTGTTACATTTGGTATCTATGGCATTTACAGTCAAACCTGAAGCTGGTGACCACCTTTATATAAAGACCATCTGCCTATACAGGGCTCACACCACTAATTGAAATTCTATACACGACAATGTTAACATATGAGGAGATTGCTATATGAAAATAATGCAGAAAGTTGAAAACATGGCTCAAAAATGGGAAATCATATTAAAAAATTTCATTGGTTCTTGCAAGGTGAATTGGTGATTGGTTGATTAGTGGTATGAGACCTATAGTCCCAAGGCATAACGTATGAGCAACTTATGTAAGAAAACCACCTGTCTTATGTAATATTTTGGCAGATTCACCTCTGTTTAGAGACCCAAATTAACATTCTGTTTATAAAATAATTTTCAATTTTCTCAAAACTTATTCAATTTTTAACAACTGAAATAAATACGTTTTTGTTCCAACAGTAGCAACTCTTTTTTTCCAGAACAAATATTACGTTAATTACACGAGTTGGCCATCCATGAAACCCTTGGGTGGTTGATGTATACAGGTCTATCTGTACTTTACTTAGTTTGATTAATTACAAATTACAATACAATTATAGTGTGGACCTAGAAGTAAAAGTAGTTCATACTAGTTCAGTCATGTTGTCCTATAAACCTATATATGTATACGGGTCGAATGAGGTGATTATTATCATAACACAAAATTTACACATGCAATACATCATCCTTGTACTTTATTTATATTATGTAAGCAAATGTAGACATACGCAGTCAACATGAATTTTAACATGGTCCACATCTATTAACAATTTAAATGCCAATGATATTTTCTGTCAAAATTTGTGTACGGCATTTTGCACACATTTACATATTTTGAATACTTATCTATAATTTTGCTGTTATATGTAATTTGGTCAAAATGAACATAATTTCTCATTCTTGAATTTCGAAGAAAAAACAAACACGTATAAACAAATTTGGCAGTAATTTTTTTTGTGTGTGTGAAAAGTTGACTGTTTGTTGGACGAAAGGGTTGATCTCTACAAACGTACTGGGCATTACAAATTTTGTTTTTGTTTGACAGTGATAGATCTGTGCTTTCTTTGTTGATATATTGATTGATTGTTTGTTTGTTTGTTTGAGAAACACTCATATGTAATTTTTTATCATTTATTAGCTCTAGCTGTCACTTCACTTGTCAAAACATGGCCACAGGATAGTCTAACATATAAAATGTGACAATAATAATCATACTGTACCTTCAAACGCGAAATGCAGATAATTAAAGAATTAAACTTGGACTCTTAACATAAGATTAAAAATTTATTTTAACCATGATTACCTCCATGGTTTAACAAATAAACAAACGATTAAAGAAAAGAACACAGTGGAAATATGAATACATTTTACAGTGCAGAGAACACACATTGCGCCCTCTAGTGGTGAGACCTGTACACACAAAAAATGTTCTTGATGCATGTACTAGTCTGATTGTTTGAACCAGAGACCGTATTTGAACAAACCTGTCAATCTAACATTTTTTTTTTACTAAATCAAATATGACAGAATGTACTGATCTTCATGTTTTGTTTAATCACCTGACTTGTAAGATGGAAACTCTTGATCTTGTGGGATGATTTTGCTGTAGTTTTGAAAGTACATGTATAATCTGATATACAGTAATTTTGTTTGAGTCTATAGAATGAAGGTATGAAAAGGTATTTAGTGATGTTGTGCTTGTACAAATGTATTACTATGCATTTTCCAAAGAACATGACATGTGTAAATCGATCTCCCTGTAGTGTACTTGTAATGTATCATTAGATGATTATCTTCAATGCATGATTACGCTACCACAACAAATTTATAAGATGAGAGACGCGATATGCAAAGAAGATCTTACACCAGGGATTTTTTTAAACAAGGGAACAGGGGCGCAGTGCCCTCAGGACATGGCCATGCGCCCCCTTACCCTGGGTAGCAGATCCTCTGGCAACCATAAAATTCTGATTGACCAGGAATCACATGTGGCCACAATCTACAACTTTGACCTGCCTGATAGTAATTTTGGCCCCAAGGAAGCCATAGAATGTTTAACTTAGAATTATCAAAAACTCCACACACTGGTATAGGGAGAACCCTATCTCCCCCACTTTGTGGCGCCACTGAATTTCAGTGCTCCCTCTTGCAGTTTTTTTCTAGAAAAACCCTTGTTACACAAATTAAAGAAGTCATGTAAATTGCAAGATGATATATAATCAAACGTACATTTTTATAAATATTGAAAAAATGCAAATGAGACTGAAGAAAATGGTTAATTAATATTCGTCTTTATTTGCTTTTGCAAATGTCCCTTCTTATTTACAAAGCATGTATTACATACATTTTTCACTTGAATACAGTGGTAATCAATCTTGCTTATTTCTGTATTTGCAATTAAATATTTCCAAGTGTCCATTTTTGAAATATGTTTGAATCATGCAACTCACAAGATATGAGATTGTTATCACTTATAACATGATGTATGTTTATCCTTATTTTAAAAATTGTTGCTATCAAGTATCATTCTATATTACAAACACAGGATCTTAGATAATTACTAATTTTTTCATGCTTCAAAGTAACTGTGAATGAAAGGTTGTTGTCGCTTACTTTTCAGGTGCTTTGACAAACTGTAAATGTTTCTCCCCGATCTGATGCTTCAAATCTGGCAGGACTTCGAGAAGACTCCATTGGTGATCAGCTGTATCCAAGTCTTCACGCTGTGAGTGCACTCCCAGGCCAGCTGGTTTGTTTAGAGCAAGAACACCATCTGAAACAACAAGAAATTGGAATGTTTTGCTGGTATTTTACTGTAAATCGCTCTAATTTTGTGAGACAGATTTTCATGAAATTCACAAAAATTTGTTTGTGCATCATCATTTTATGATACAAGTAACACATTTTGTTTTCTGGTCTCATTTCCTAATGCATTGTCTATGAGACAGTGTGAACTGAGAAATCAAATTGAGCCCTCGTGTGGTCAAATTTTAATTTCACTTGTTTAAACAAAAGAATTGCAATTGCCATGTATTTCCGACAGTCCAAAGCACACCCAGGGCAATGATTATGGAGGAAACTGTGTAGGTACTTGCTACATGCATTTGAATTGTAGCGTGAAGCTAGTGTTTAGATATTCTAGTCTGGAGTGACAACTTTTAAGATTAAGATGCTTTGATATGTACTTCTAAGGCTTAAAGTTATATTGTTGTCAAAATTTTGTTTGAAGCCTTTGTGATGCCCAGTGACATGTGTACTGTATTAAATGCTATGGTTTATGGTATTCACAAAATATCTGTGGCAGAGGTTTCTTGTCAATAGTTTTCAGCATCTTAGGGGGTCATCAATTCATTGACTTGCACACAGGGTTCTCTGTTCAAAGATGGATTATTAGATGACAAAATCAATATTCAGTGTTAATTTTGCTGGCAATACAACTTTGAAATTAACATGACATTTCCATTGTAGGCCTGAGTGATTCTGTTGGTTCAGAGGTCATGCAGTAACTGGGGCTTAGATGAGTGTCACAGTGTAAAAAATATATTATTACATGGTTTGTCTGAATTTAGCAATCTGATTGGCAGATGTAAAGTCTTATATCACTATAAGACCTGTGATCACGCTGCAGAAATTAATAAACTGGCTTAAATATCTAATTGAAACAAGATCACATGACTGTGAGTACCAACTGGTGTATGATCAAAACTGGGAAACCTGGTACAAGTAATACAAATTGTTAATGACAAATATGGCAATATATATTGTGCATTTTAGGAGAAAACTTTCGTGAATATTCAATGCAGTATGGTGTTCAAATTGAAAATGTGATTTCATCGATGTGTCCGTTTCTGCCACTTGCCAGGCCTGTGTTAGTTTCATAATTCAACATAATTGCAAAGAATCACAAGATTTTTTTTACTTTTTACTTTTTTGCTTTGTTATGTGTGGATATAATACATGTATCATATTACTACTAAGAATAATTGTCGGTTTTGTCATGCGCCTCGCTATGTATTCATACATGTATGTTCTATAGAGTGCAATTTAGCCCTGGAATTTGAATACAAAATCTGGAATGTGCATTAATTGGCGGGTAAATCAGGGTTTGACACTCACATGAATAATTAACTATCCAAAAGGACCACCAGTTTATGGATTTTGGTAGTCCTTTCTAAAAGTTAGTGGTCCTCAAATCAATGAGATTTTATTTTGTGTGCGAGTGACTACATCGAAATTCCTCTCACTCCAGTGTCGGAAAACAAAACTGATTTGCAATTATCCCTCTTGCAACATTAAAACAGTAAAGTACCCCCCTTGCTGAATTACTGAGTCACAGAGTATGGCAGCAATGTGTACTTTTTTGTTCATGCTTCCCAAAACTCGCAAACACGAATCATATGCACGTCTCTTCTGTGTTTCATCTTCTTAAATTTTTGGTTTTTGGCAACATAGCCTACTAAAAATCGTTCAATGATGATGTAATGGATTCTGCTGTAAATTCGCCCATCCGAAAAAATCGCCCTGGGCGGTTTCACAGCTGGTGGGTCCTTATTTGGGGTTCAAAATTTCAAAAATGATCATCAAATATTTTTAGGGGGGGGGGGAGCTTATATTTTCATTTAAAAATCCACCTACGCCAATTTTAAACGCCAACAGTTGGACCAGCCAAAGTGAAAGAAACTATTGCAGAAGCTAATCTATAATTTTATAAATTTTTTTCTTTTCCGTGCATCTTTCTCCAAAAAAAAATCACATTAACAAACCTTGTGCACCAAATACAATTATTTTGTTTCATTTTATTAGTAACGAAAGTATATTCTAAAAGAAGTTTCAAATAAAAATGAACCCAACTGCATTACTTAGTAGCAAATGATCGCGGTAGTGCAATCCGGTCATGCTGCGTTTCACAATTGTTGATTATTACCTAGTAATGATTATAAAAACGTGAAAAAAATAAATTTGTTGAATAATTATGAAATGCAAATAAATTTCATTGTAAGCGAATGATTTCGATCGCATTTTCAACGCTCGATGCTGAAGAAATGAATATCCGTCATGTTTTGACCTACATTTTTTGTGTAGGACAGTGTTCTTTGACCTGACAGGTCAAATTGATAATTAACCAATGAAAACGATGGAAGATGCCAACGTGTTAAATTACCATAACTCAGTTAAATATGCTAATGTCATTGGACGCAGCATGGAAGAGATTTGCTGATGTTGTATGATCTTTTGGATTTTGATGGGAAAGCGGCATGATTTGTTTTTAAATAAAAAAATTGGTTGTTTTCAAAAGATGAACTGAGCATTTGAAAAATAATTTAACAATGTTTACAGCGATAACAGCTCATTGTCGTAATGAAGCTTACCCATTCACGCTAGTTGCAATAAATATCAATTCTCTTGAATAGGCGTCAATGACAACAGCAAAACTTTTAGGTATCGGAAAAGATTAAAATAACACCTTAAACAACTGCCGAAAATTTGCCCTGGACAATTTCTTGGTCCCATTTATTTCTTTTAAAACCCGAACTGCCGTTTAACGGTCCTGGGTGAATTTCAAGAAGAATCCGGTACAAACTAAATAATATCGCAAAGTGCAATCACACTTGACAAAATGGACGGCACCATGAAA